CAAAGTAAAATATAGAAATAACAAAAAAAATAACATATACACATTCGAATGTATACGTCTTTTGCAACAGACATGTTCCTTGGTTCCCATAAATATTACTCAATTCATTACTCGGTTTTCTTTTTCGCAATTATAACATTGCCTTCAAAGTCGTCCGAACAAAGATCCGAATATATCGCGAATAAATTCGATGTTTAATTATCGAATACAAAAAGATTAAATTGCAGGCATCGTCGTCGAGAACAAGAAAACAAATACCGATCTATCTCGAACACTCTATGCCGAACCTTTCTGAGACTTTTCCCAAACATAAAAAAAAAAAAAAAAAAAAAAAAAAAGAGAGACGCGACACTGAGAAATCCGATATAACGTTTCACATCGTATCGCGACGTTCTGTAATTTCCCTTCGTTTCTCTTTCGCCGATCGTCGGTGCTTGGGAATGCCGCGATAGAGAGTGGCTGCATTGGTTACGTATCATCGCCGGGAAACACCGAAAAAGGCGACGAGGCGTCCCTATCGGACGTACGTTAACAAATTACAGTGTTCAGAAATTACATACAATGTGGCAAAATCGGCGTAAGTATCGGGGGGTTAAACATAAAGGTTAAGGTGCGCTCTCGCCCTCCAACGTCGAGCAGAAATAATAATCGAAGAAAGCCCGCGCGATGTACGCGGAAAAACAGTAATTTCGAGGTCGTAATTTTTTATCAGCGCTTGTCTACCGAGATCGATCGCGCAGATACCGCGGCAGTTTGATGTATGTGCCGCGATATTCCGAACGAGTTTATTAAAAAGAAACGCGTGGGCGTCCCTCGTCGGATTGTTCGAATTGCACGGCGGGAGAAAAAGGCGAATTATCACCTGTGCTGCGATGCAGCGGGTGTTCGGTCCACTCGCAATGAACTCGATCGTAACGTTCGTTCGTTGTGTGAATTGAATAATCACTCTTGCGTCTTATGCGAGAAACTTGTATTTTATTTTAAGCGTGTTGAGACTTCTCCATATTTTTACTCGGCACAAGGTCACCACCTCGAATATCATAGATAAGGAACAATCTCTGGATGCTGGACGGCTTAAATAAACCAACGTTATCTAGATCAGCCACAAGATTGTCGATTCAAAAATATACAGTTCTATTAAAGAAAAAGAACAAAAATCACTTTGAAAGCGTGGTCACGTAGACAAGATTTATGGCCTCCCTCGAAACAACGTAAATTCTTTTCTACGGCGGATAGTTTAAGAGAGAATTGCGTGAAACACCCTGTATAACTGATCGACAATCAGTGTCGCAGCATTTTTTCCATCGATAGTTCACCGAGTGGAAAGTCCTGTCTCGTTCAAATAAAATTGTGCAACATAATTTTTTAATTATAGCCTTACGAACGTGACAAGAGAACGTTTAGAACGTCGAACGCGCGACGTGTACCGTTCACCGTGTACCGTCACGTCAAACGAAAAACGGAAAACGTCTCGTCATCCGCGCGAGCGAGCATGCTCCAGGCTTGCTCGGAAGAAACGGACGATCCCTCTCGCTAGAACGCGGAGAGACGGCACAAAAACACAGTTCGCGGAGACCGTTACACGTCTCCCCTGGCTCGTAACAGCGGCCAGGAATCGACGACGTTCAATCAACGACCGGCAGTACACACCGGACCGTGTGCGAGTAGCGTGTGGCACCACACGTGTGTCAAGTCACGCGGCACACCGGACCACACGCTCGACGACAGCAACAGCTGGCAGCGTCCTCAGAGTCGTGCCAAAGTGCCAAGTCGCGCGCGTAATCGTGGTCGGACGATCTGTCGTACGACTAAGCAGATCAACCGTATCGACTAGCATCTAGGCACCGGGAACACCGGTGCCAGATTGCACCGACACATGTACGTATACACGGGATTCCTTCTTTTTTCTTCTCTTTTTTTTTTTTTTTCTTCACGAACGTGTGTCTCTTCTAGAGCGGCGTAGAGTTCCGTTCTCCAATGGATGAAGGTCGAGCGAGGAACGAAACGATGCGAAGAGAGAGTATTGACACTTTGAGTGCCACGTCTGCTCCGATTCTTGGTGACGTCTTAGTTGCTCAAATAGAAGCGTATTGAGTTTAAGCAATGAAGTTCGTGAAGACGGCCAAGCCAATTTGAATAATGTGGATAAACAGGTTATTTGTTTCATTTATTCAACGAATTGCATTTAGAAATACAAATCTTTGGCGTTGAGAAGGTATTCTTAACTAATTTTGATTTTAATTAATTCTTAATTAATGCCAATCTCAAAACGTTAATAAGGTGTATTCTGATTTAGAATACTATGTTTTAGGTTATTTTCAGGATACTCTTCAAGATACTTTGCAAGATCTTGCTGGTTCATTTCAGGATACTTTGCAAGATTTTGCTGCTTCACAGCAGAGGTATGTAAAACCTATTCTTGCTAGCTACCCTATATTATGTTAATAGGAATCTTTGCATCAACGTTTTAACATTCAATATTGATGGCACAGTGTACAAAGAGTTATTTACTCCTGGGTGACACTGCTTTGATCTATTAAGTTACAACTCAGGACTCGTTTCAATATAAAAAAAAGCGACACCTTAGCTCATAACTCATGTCCTTTACTGACTAGCATATTTCATTTTTTCTGTACTTACCACCTTACTGCATTTATTCTTTCAATTCAATATTCCTATCTTCATTGTTTATCTTATTTTCCAGCACTGCAATTATTATATTTATAACATAATAAATACTTTTATCTTCATTATTTTCATCTGTTACTGTAAATATTATTTATTTGTCTCAGTTACTTATATGTATCTATCTTCATCTCGCTTATCTTATTTTCTGGCATAGTAATTATTATATTTATAATATGATAAATATTTTTATCTTCATTATTTTCATCTGTTACTGTAAATATTATTTATTTATCTCACTTACTTATATTTATCTATCTTCATCTCGCTTATCTTATTTTCTGGCACAGTAATTATATTTATAATATAATATTATAGTAGTATTATATTTATAATATAATAAATATTTTTATCTTCATTATTTCCATCTGTTACTGTAAATATTATTTATTTGTCTCACTTACTTATATTTATCTATCTTCATCTCGCTTATCTTATTTTCTGGCACAGTAACTATTATATTTATATATTAATACTTTCATCTTATTTATCTTATCTGCAGTATCTTATCCCATCCTTCAGTTTCTTCACTTTGTGAATTTCCTTGTCCTTCACTTTGACGCTAGCTCCTGTTTTTCCTTTTTTCTTCTTTCTTCCCAATAAATACATTTATGAATATTTATTAAAGTATCTAGTGAATAAATACTTAAGCTGTGACTTGTTTTGCGAATAAACAATCTTCTTTTAAAGGAACCAGACTTGTTTAATTTTTACAGACTCTTCACTCTTCAATGACGTGACTGTCACACTATGAGCTTGATAATCTTTGATATTTTTCTCGTTGATACTTCTTCTAAATTTCACGGTTTCGTGAAATTTCAAAAAAAATATCAAAGTGCTTGGTCCTTAATGGATTAAAAAACAGAGAGAGAAAGAGAAAGAGAGAGAGAGAAGAGCGGAGGACGCTTCAGAAAAGAAAGAGGGGACGTTCAGCGCAACGATCTTGGGGGCGCACGGGCACGTGAGAATTAACCAGCATTTGCATTGTAATACGCGTCGGGGTAATCACTATGATTGCGGTGGGCGTAGCCAATCTTTAACTTTAATAGCCCGGCTTGCCCAAAAGACCCAGTGTGTGTCGTTCCGGGTACGCGTGTGCATGTGCCGCGTGAAACTTTTATCGTTTCACCGAGTCGTAATTTTTGCGGGTGCACGGTTACCTACGTGGTCCTTAAGGGAGTTTCAGGTATAATAAGCTGCCTTGCTGCCTTCTCTACGGCTTTCATTTTCGACACTAACCCGTACTATAAAAGCAACAGTTCCTCGACTCGTATTTTACTGCTCTACGGGAAAATTTGAAGATTGTAAAATGCCAAAATCGGAAAATTTTCCATTTTCCTATCACATTTTAAAACAGTGTATTTTTAGAGATTTTTGAATGATATTTCGTAAATTATATGAATAAATGCTTCTATGCTCTATTGTGTGTTCTTTTTTATTTTTATTTTTTATTTTAATCCCTTACGCTGGGGCGACTGGTTCACGGACCATAACGAGTGACCAAACCGTATACAATAATTCGTCTTCTTTTTGAATTCACCGGATAGAAATTACTAAGAAGTAATAAATTTATTATCTGTTTCGCCTGCGTTATATTTAAATATACTAAAAACTGAGAAGATATTGCAATTTTGTGATAAAAGATTCTCGATGTGCGTGGCACGTCATTCCAGCGCAAGAGGTTAATGTCTCTAATGGAAATCTTATACTTCGATCGTAGTTCTGGTGTTAAAATTCCTACTCGTCTCCGGTCCGTGCTTTCGAAGTAAAAAGAAACGCACGAACAATAAGTAACCGAGGCTACCGTCGTTTTTTCTCAGCACTTGGCAGATTTTTATCGGACCGTTTGCCGCGCATTGGTAATTAGCCCAGAGTGCGGTTGGCTGAAGTTTGCGTGAGGCAAAAACCTCAATGGGCTGGTAATTCTTAAAGGGTAGGTATAAAATTCTGAAGACATAAGTGCCGGGTTTCGTTATGCAAATGTTATTCGACGTACTGTTTGCCCAAAGCAGAATCATCGTTAATATCGTTTTCTCCCTGCATCACTTTTTTGTAAAGTCTTTTTATACTAATTGTGTCTATTGGATCGATGAGATTTTTTTGTGAGAAAAGTCTCTGTACCGTTTAGTCGCGTAATTGGTCTTTTTTTATACAACTTTATGTAGTATTCTTGTTGTAATATTATACAAATATATATATATATGTTGAGCGTTATTTAATTAGTGATATAATTTTCGTTTCTTCAATAAAATGAATTATTTTTCACGAAGGAATGACTTCAATTCAATGAATTTTTTTATAAAAAAATCCAAAACTGAAAATTAATCTGGGACCCATCGAGTTTTATAAAGCATCGTGTTACAAGTGACTTTGATAATTAATGTTCTATTATAAGTATTTAGGGTATTTAACTAAAATACTTTATTTCATTAATTAGCGCTAAAATTAAATTGAACTAAAAATTCCACAATTAGGCAAGCTGAAAATTTAAATTGTTATAGTTTCTAATTAAGACTTAATTATAATTTTTGTAACGCCGTATGAAATACTATTTTGGAGAGACAATGACCGATCAAAGTTCGATTTACGAATACGTCGTTTCGTGAGCACCAATTTGACAACGTACAATGGAAAGGTCACAATCGGTGCAATTGTTTGAAAAGCTGCTGATTTTTATGTATTTTTAAATTTTCATGTCACACGACCTAAATAGAAAATTGCCTCTTCTACGTAATACTCTAATTAATATCATTCTTTGAATACTACATTTTTTAAATATAAAATTAAAAATTATATCTTATTTTATATTATATTATATTTTGCAATGTTACGCGCATCGAGTTCACTTCTGCACCTTCAAATTTCCCATATAAACGCGTAAAAATCCACAATCTACTAAAATTGAAATCAAACGTCTTTTCAATGACTTAATCTGCCAAAATTGAAACATATTCGTCGCTCCTCGCCTTCCTCCATACAATCGCATAGAAAATCGCTGACAATCTCGTCCGCGTTGCCAACTTCCTGCAAAACACGTCGACGCATTCGATCGAGCAACACGCGCGCGCAGTGCAATAATTTGTTTCTAATCCCGCGGCACGTTCAGCCCCGATAAGCGAGTGAATCATTCGCCGCTGGTTCGTCTTCTTTTAATCAGATGGGGACGAGATAATGAAAGGATGCTGGAAACAGCCGTTCTCTGTATCAGAGCGGCCTGTCGCTTATTATATTCAGCGATAAGTCGTCTTGTTGCTCGCCCGCTCTCGGACGAGAGAGGGACACGAAGCTCGAACACGGACGTGTGGCGAAACGAAAAAACTCCTCCCCGTCGCGAAATTCCGAAACACATCGTCTCGTTAATGATCCCTGTGTTTCGTTTGTGATAGCCGACATGTAAACAGCGGGGATAGTTACATCGTGTATAATACGTGTTTTGCGGTTGTATGTATCAAGATGGTCGAGCAGCATCGCGCGCGCACGATCCGCTCGCACACTTGTTCCCTCACGTGTCCCGTACGTGTTCCTTTTGCGTTTGCTTGTACGCTGGCTTTTATGATTAAGACCGATGCGGCGATAATAAGCAGCTTTATCGCATCGGCGACATCGGTAAAAAAGTGAATTAATGTTGCGAGATGGTAATGCGTCCGGATGGGGGACCGATGATCGACATTAATCGATAAGCTCGTTAGCGATAATTCGCTAGGACCGCGCACTTTTTCATGCACACCTTCTATGCTTTATTTCTCTTCTATTTTCTTTTTATTCGTTTCTGTGTTTTTTCTTTTTTCTTTTTTTTTTTTTTTTTTTTTTTTTGGTTTNTTTTTTTTTTTTTTTTTTTTTTTTTTTTTTTTTCTTTTGGTTTATGGTCCGGTGGATGTTTCTAAAGTAGGAGAATCTGTAGGAAATTGTATAACAGAGTGAGTTCTATTAAATATTCGGACAGTGACAATGAGTATTGAGACCGTTGTAATTCTCAACTCACGAATTCCATTCTTCAGCGTCGGAGATTTTTAATTTGAAAGATCGAACTGGCATTCGCCAATTATAATGATTTCAAATGAGAACGGCTACGAATGAACACGATCCACCGCGGTACTCGTGTGTTGGAAAACGAGCAATATCATAAACGACAATGTTTATAGCTAGGGAAAAAAGCTACGAACATTTGCCGTGCGATTATACGGGTTCGATAGGGTATTCAAATAAAGTTATTACTGGATGTGTCGCTCGAGTTACATTAGCCGAACAAACCGCATGATAACGAAACGTATGTATCCCCTGGGATAAGAAATCCACGTACATTCTTGCTCAAAAGTCTTTGAAAAATCTTTTCAACATTTAAGTATCTCGATACTTTGTGATACAATTTTTATATAAATATATTAGCATATATAGTATTTTTTTTAATATTCCAGTATTTTAAGTAATACTTAGTATAATTGTAGTATTGTATATTAACAATTATATTTTACTATATTATAGTATTGTATATTAACTTTTACTATATTGTAGCATTGTATATTAACAATTGTATCTCACTGTTATAGAAAATATTATTTAGGACAAATATAGTAGTAAAGTACAATTTCGTCTCCTTGGGTTTTTTTTTAGCACTTATGCAAAATAAAATCGAAACATCGAGTGCACTTAATCTATTTTCTTTTCGTTCCTTGCCTCGTGACGAAGTTTTACAAATTCAAATATAAAAATATCTTTCCCAGGGGAAAGTCATGAGAGGGATGAAATTAAGTACGAAACTTTTTTTTTAATGTAATTGTCAAATAATAATTCGAAACGTACAATATACATATATTGTTATAACGCACTATAGTAGATTATTGTAATATATAATATATAGCATTATAGTATATTACTATAGTTTAATTACGAAATACTTGAACAGGGGAGTAAACGATACGATTACAGTGTCAGATACTAAAGTACGATTTTAAACGTTAATACTTGTGCAGGAATTTTTATGCATTTATGAGAAATTTAAATATTCAAGAATTCGTAAAACATACATATATATACATATAATACACGAGAATACATAGAACATCTAAAATGAAGAGTATCTTATTATAATTTCCAATAAATAAAACAAATTTCTTTAAATCGGTGTATAGAAATACGAAATTTCACTAAAACTCCATAGTCTAATTATAAAACTTCAAATCCGTCTGTCTACTGTAACACTCAAACTATCGGCGACTGAAGTACAGAATTTCCAATTACAAAACATTAAAGTCGAAACGATATTACGATAATCAATAGAAATCATTTAAACTGTTTTACATCTACAAAATTCCCGACCAAATTTCGACCATTTTTTTGGTAGTTCTATTCTGTTAAATTACCATTAATTGACCACGCTATTTAGCAACAAGAGATTAACTTAGAAATTAGAACTGAAATTTGGATCCTTCACTCCACTTGTCCTAAAAGACTTTTGAACGAGGGTGTACACTCGTATACATGAACGCAGATGCGCACAGTGCACGCAACAGTGTGTGCGTACGCAGCGTGGTACACCGTGCACGAATGGCCAGATCGAGCAATAATAATCCGATGCTGATGAGCGGAGGATCTCGGTTCCCTCGGTTGACCCTGCGATCTCCGCTATTCCCAATGCCGAGCGTCACGAGCTATCCTGCCTGTTCGATGGCTGGTGGACGCGTCTTTCGGACGTGTCCGCGGAATTTTATGGCAAACTGGTTTGCAATGTCACGTCTACAAATGATACGACGCCTCTTGTCCTTTTTCTTTTCTTTTTTCTTCTTCTTCTTCTTCTTCTTCTTCTTCTTCTTCTTCTTCTTCTTTTTCTTTCCTCCTCCCTTTCTCGTCGACGACGAGAAATTTCAGGGGACGGTCTCGCCGAGGGGGAAACAGCTTGGTAACGAAGCGACCGGAAAATATTGCTTTCTTTCCGCTGAGGATCCGCTGATTGGCGGTGGAGAAGAGGAGTCTTCTCGATACACACCGACCGGTGGTGATCGTTCGTAAGTTTGAAGGCAGCTCTCTCTCTCTCTCTCTCCTCTCCTGTCGAGAGAGAGAAAGGAGAGCTTCTTTTTACTCGTCGATCTAAGATAAGATACGAGCAATTTGCGAGACATTGAATATATAGACGTTGCGCAGAGGGGGATCATACGTGGGATAATACGAAAACATTTGCTGCTTACATAGTTGCAACACAGAGGAGACAAAGGTAAGGCGAGTTTCGAAATAATTGGAGGTCTGATATGCGATGTCCGATTAGCGGCTAGCAATTAAACGTAACGAAGATAACAAGGATATTGTAATGTATGGCAATTTGAAAAACTACCACGTGCAACAATTCTGTTTTTGTTCAATCAGTCTCTTATTTCTCCAAGTTAAATTACGTTCAAATTGGTAAAAAATTAATTGTCATAATTTGCATTGTATATTTGCGTGCAATTTTATATTTTATACTATATGTATTAGGTTGATCTAAAAATTTCTTTCTTTTTCCCTTTAATAGATGATGAACGTATATACGATATTTTGTGTTATTGAATTGTGTGCGATTTATTCTAATCTATTATCTTTCTTCATTTCTTTCCGGAAAAGAACTTTATAATACCATCTTTCCAAGACTTTTGTTGTTTGTTGGTAAGAGATGAATCTTTATGAGCTAAATCTTTCACCGCGAAGAGAATCCTTTAATGAAAGATGGTAAATAACAGTAATCAAAGTAATATCCGCAGAGTATGGAGGATGAGATAGAACAGCCCAATCAAATTCCACGAAAGAATCTTTTAGGAGCTAGTAATATAATATTACAATATATAATATAAAATATAAAATTATATCGATACATTATATGTATATTACATTAATTATTTTAATATTTTAATAATGCTAATTATATAATCTAATAATAATATCAACATTATTATTATATTATATGTATAGAAAGATAAGAAATTATGCCTACATGTAAAAATGAGATGATGAAAAGATAAACAGTTGAATTCGTAAATTCTTTCATTATTAATAAATAGACTAAAATTTAATCGTGTATGAGATTCACATAAATCTCAGATCTTATCTTCTTTATGTTTTGTCTAACGTTATCATCATTCGTTCTGAATTATGTTCAAAGTTATAAATGCCTATATATATCATTGAAAAAGTGATACATTGAATCTATAATTAGGAAAAAATGGATACTATCAATTAACTGCTCAATTGCAAAAAATATGTTCTTGTGAAATTATTGTCATTAAATTTCACAAGAATATATGTGTTTCTATGAAATGTATATTATCATCAGAAATGTCAAAAATACATGTTATATGCCGGAGAAACTTTCGGAGAAAAATGTATCAAATGTGTGAAATCGACACAATGGTAAGATATTCGTCGAGTCATTTTTCTTCGAGACGATGTTTCACTTTAGATAACGTTATTTTAATATCATTAGCATTTTTTACTCGTTTATCTTTTCTCGCAGTCGCCCTTACTACGCATCGCGCCACTACGAGCATAATGCACTCTGAACAAAAACCACTGTCCTTGAAACTAAAGCTTTTGCAACATCACGTTTGTCCCTTAAAACCGCCGACTACTCGCTAATGTACTTTTTGCCGCATTATCCGAGGAAAAGGTGGGAAAGAATTTCTTTAATAAACACATCGAACGAATGAATGTGAAATTAAACAATGTGCAAGGTGTTCCTACAGTGAACTTGCGGTAAAAGTTAGATTAATACGATAAAAAGAACATACGGTGGTCGAAGATGTATGATAGTAATCACCATAAAAAATAATAGCTCAAATTTTATATATATATTATATATTATATTATATTTTATATATATACATTATATATATGTATATATTATATATTATATATATATATTACGTTCATTATATGAAACATTTTAGAATTTTATTAACACTATGAGAGATGGCTATCATGATTTGAAACCAATCTAGAAATAAAAATTCATTGCATATATAGTAAAAAAAATTTATTATTTTAAAATTTTTACTATATATATATAATATATATAGTAAAAAATATATATATAGTAAAAAATTAATATACAGTTACTGTTAAAAATAGAAAGAAATATTCGTCACCCCAGCGAAATATATACTACTTGTAATTTCTATAGATATTTTTGCATCTCTTCGAAATTTGACCAATATAATCGTGACAGTCAGGTCTCAAGTCAGAATACAATATTAATAAAATATCAAAATGTTTCATAATACACGCAATGCGCACGAAAATTATTTATGGAATACTTTCATGAACAACTGTAACTAAAGTACACTCTTTTTTTTAACTGCTTGTAAGAAAAGCAAACAATTTCACGTGTTCCAATAATCTCCTAACTGTGGGTACTAAAAATATTGTCAACTACCTTCCAAGGCAATCCTAGCAAGTGTAAAAGTACTAATTTCACCAACGAACGCACTGCAAAATTGCCAATCTTCGTCAATGTCTAGCGATGATGAATTGTCAAGCATTTCAAAATACTTCGAACGTGTAGTATATATTTCTAAGGAACGATTCGAATAAAATTCGATTCTTAGAAACTTAAGTTTCAATTCTATTCTTTCCTATTCTATTTTTTCCATTTTATAGCAAATTTCAATGTCATTAAAGAGCTGTGCCATTAAAAAACCTAAGAAGAATCTAAGTAGAAACGACTTGTGTACGGCACTGTACTTTGGATATGTTAGATATTTTTACATATTGAGTATTTTTACATATGTACGTACATATTGTTATACATTTCTTTAAACTTCCAACATTTTCAACATTCAATATTCGGTATTTTCTAATTTATTTCTATTTCTTAATAGGATTTCTTTTTATTATTTGACGAGTAGATACTACTATGGATTTTTAATAGACTTTCAATTAAAATAAAATAATTTACTCCTGAGAAGAGAAAGAAAGAGACGGGATTAATTCCTACTCAAATGTATCCCCAAGCGTAACACTTCCTTTTATAAAAACAAGCTTCTTCCATTCCATTCACAAAAACAAACCACATTATCTCATACGAAATATACATTGATTCGAACAAATATCAATTAATTCTTGCGAGAAATCAAAAGAATCTGTTGATCTCGATCCCTTTGCAGTTCGATTACATCGACCGGGCTGTAACGAGGGTTCAAGTTTAGTCAAATTTCGTGCGCGGCGTGTGTCAAAACATCTCTTACGTATGAAAATATCGGTGGAACCAGTTTCGTTCTCGTTTGCACTTTCATCCAGTCGATTTCGGCTGGCCCGGATACCCGGACTCGTCCACTTCGTGACCGTTCCTCCTCCCTCCCCTCGATCCTCTCCCTGCCCCTGTCCACCCGGTAAAAACTGGTTAACCCACGCCTCGCGCAAAATCCCCGAGGGCTGCAGCTGCATTGCGAGGTGTCGTTGCCACCTGACGTGCATGCAGCGTCGTGTGTGACGTAAGCGGGGAGGAAAGCGGCGTCTTCGGGTCGTTCGTGTCGTCGTCATCGACCGGCAACCTTGAAAAGTTCATCGCCGCCCATACGGAGGAGGATCCACGCTGGCCGAATCTCGCGTACGCCGTTCACCTCTTCGGCTCGTGCTCGGCTAATTGCGAGTTCACTCAAAAAATACTTCGAACTAGTTTGTTCTACTCTTTTTTTTTTTTTGTTTTGTTTTGTTTTGTTCATCTCGTTCTTCCATTTTACACGTACTTTTTTTTTTTTTTTTAATAATCTTTTGTTTCTTCCATCTCGTGTTTTCCATCTTTTCTGCTTCTCCTTTCTCCTCTGTTTTTGTAGATTTTTTTTTTGGAATTTCTTGCTATGTTTGGACTACCACGTATCTCTTTCTATTCTTTTGTGGATAATTTTAGGTCGTTCATTAGAAGAAAAGAAGAAACCTTCTTCTCTACGTTTTATAGACAACTTTGAACCACGGATTAATACAATTGTTGGCAAAGAAGAAGCAAGAAACTAAATATCAAAGTCGTGGAGAGCTTTCAATTATAAATCAGTTTCTTCGTAAGAAAGGAAATATAAAATCGCAATTTTATACTTAGCTACTTCTCCTTTTTTTTTTTTTTTCTTTTCAATTTTTTGGATCAATCATTGTGAAATGAAAAATGATAAAGAATATAAATTAATATATAAAACTGTAATATCCAGACCACCCTGTGTTTCTCTTCGTTTTTTCTCTAAATAACTTTGGA